TGGGGATAGATCTGTAGACTAGACACTAGATAGCTGTTAGCTCGAAAATGGTACAAGATACTTCCAAGCTATTTCTCGTGACGTTCTATTTTTAGGTCCGCCCAGGTATTGCAGCCCGTATCCAAAAGGCGGCTCCGTCGAGTTGAAAGATACGATACTGACAGCCACCCGTGCTGTACATACGACCTGGCTATCGAAAATGACAGTCGAGAGCTAAGCGATGTGGATTGCATGAAGAGCCAATACCGCGCTGCAGAAGGTACCTCCATTGCCGAATGTGAGGCGGTGATAAGTCCGGCGTCTCATCCCCGAGCCGAAGGAGTATAGATGCCCGGCAGTCCAGCATTTGCATGATTGCCTTGGCGCACGAGCTCTGGTGATGATGTCGTTCTGAAAGGTGCTGGGAGGCTGGGAGGTGATGGTTGATCATGGACGATCTGGTGGGCGGAGATTGATGCGCCGATCTGACTAAGCAGCGGCTGTTTGAGTCGTGCAGCGTCATTCGCGCCATCTTTCCTCTCAGAGTCGGTTCACGCGACATCGCGACATTGCTGCCCTGATCAAGTGATCTCTTTCACGTGTTATCCATCCACCGAACGCCTCGTGCCTTCCCGCTCGACGTCGCGGCGGTCGCAGAACAGCCCACGGCTGCCTCCCTGATCCTCATCATCTCCGTAACGGCGTATCCGTCCCCGAAGCTCCGCCGTCGTCCTTCCATCCACCACGACACACGCATCACCTACCAGCGCCACCATGGCTCCATCGCGGTCCCGAGCGCCACTGCTCTCAATACTCGCCCTCACATCCCTCCTTCCCTACACAGCCTATGCCTTTGACTGCAAAGACATCCTCGCAGATGGCCAGCACTTCAATTTCAAAGAGCTTGGCGGCCCGCACGTAGTTCATTACAAGGAGACTGATATCGCCAAAGAGCTCGAGTGGAAGTTCAACTTTACCATCGACATCTGTAACAATCTCAAATGGCACAAAGGCGGCAGTCTGGCAACCGAGTGCCATCACGGGACTAGGGTGTGTGGAATCAGAGAGAACTTCGATTTGAGCAGTGACGTCAACTCCACCATCACTCCCATCGATATCGCCGGAACATATGCGACGCAGAACGGGAGGAAGATCGATGCCAAGTTTGAGAACCTAGGCAACTCCAAAAGCAACAACGATGCAGGATTAGAGGGTGTCAGGGCAACGCTGAACGGAGGTAGATTCCCGTTCGACGACAAGAAGGAAGGCATAAACCAGCGTGCGATCATCGAATTCGTCTGCGACAAGGAGAGGACAGGATTGGAGGGTGACGAGATGGACAAGAGCCCGCACCAGGATGACGATAAGGAAGATGACGGAGGCGACAAAGGGGATGACAAGAAGGAGGGCGATGACAAGAAAGAAGAAAAGCTGAGGAGGAGAGAAGAGAACGGCAAGGGCAAGTGTGAGGACAACGACAACAGTCTGCGCTTCTGTGGGTACGACATGGAGACGGAAGAAAAAGACAAGAAAGTTCAGACACTGCGACTGCAATGGCGGACCAAGTACGCCTGTGCGGATGCGCCATCGCCAGACGGTGGCTCCCACTGGGGTTTCTTTGGCTGGTTCTTCATCATGTGAGTTGCATGACCCCATCTCTACATTTTCACATTGTTCTAACAAGTATCTAGTCTCTTCCTCGCGATCGCTGCCTACCTCATCTTCGGCTCATGGCTCAACTATAACAGGTACGGAGCGCGCGGATGGGACCTTCTGCCCCACGGAGACACGATCCGCGACATCCCGTACATTGCGAAAGATTTCGCGAGGAAGGTCATGGGGACTGTACAGGGAGGCGGAAGCAGAGGAGGCTATGCTGCCGTGTAGAGCAACATGTCAACATCCTGGGATGGAATTAAGTGATGTAGCGATGCAGTGATGCGAGAGATGCTTTGTAGGATACGCCTGGTGAGGAGGAAAGAGCATACAAGGCGCCGGAGTTATGGATTTGGCTTATGGTCAGCACTTGCGACACTTACCTAGATTTTGAGAGATGCGGAACGAGGAGTGGTACAACCCTTGGATGCCTATCGAGTCGACATGTGCTTCGTCGAGTATCGCTATATTGAGCTTCCCATCATCATCCTGCTTTCGAGAACACTGTTAGATTGCTTTGACCTTTGTTGTACATTCACATATACAATGTCACATGCGTTCAAGTCTCGGAAAGTTATATATTGCCGCCACTTTTCGAGAATCTGGTGAAATGATCTCTCACTCTCTCCAGCGCCAGTCGTGCACATGCCTGACCTCAATACCATGTTTGCAGGAAGTCAGTCCACGTCCAAGCCGCATCGCCGGAAGAAATCCGTAAATTTCAGCCCGGACACCAACTTTGAGCCTGGCCGGGCTACACATCAGTGGAAGCGCAAAAGCCCCACGTATTCGGCTGGGAAATACAGTTGCCCACCAGATGTTGGAGCCTGGCTGGACACCAGCTTGATGAGCAACGAATTGGAACAGCTCCTCAACTTCAAAGTCCACGCCATATTCCACGTCCGCAACGCAGACGAAATCGACGTCCTACACAATTCCTTCCACGCACAAATGCGAGCAGGTCTGCCGCTTCTTCCCGGCTCCGAAACACTTCTACGAGACCATCCGCTTGGTTTTGAGGTTTTCAAAATCTACAAGGACTTGACTGAAGGCGGCGTCGCGTTTTCTAGCCTTACGGGAGGAGACTGGACGAGGGCGAAAGTGTTGGTTCTTTATCAGGATAAGAGGGATAAGTCTGTGACCTTTCAGTTTGTTAATGATGCGAAGGAAGATCAAGAGGCTCACGAGTGGATACTTGAGTTGCAGCGGACTGTGCCTAAGAATAATGTTGGTTTGCCGAAGATGGCTAGGTTGATGAAGTGGAGGGATGATTGTTTTGTTGAGATGTGCGGGTTAGATGAGGATGCGCAGTGAGAACTTGGTCTGTGAGGGATATACGAAGTTACAGTGAAAAGACTAGGGTCATGAGTGTGAAGCCAATGACTCAGTGGATGTGGCAACAATAGAATGAAGCTTCTGCGCTGCAACTCATTCAATTTAGAGCTCATGCCGCCTCAGTTGCGCTGGCTGCATACCGATGGCAAAAACCACAGTGAACGACAGGGCTCACTGGAAATTGGCTGCGCGACCTCAATTGATAGATCACTCTTTGTTCCTGAATACATTCCATGTACAACTACCCCAGCATCACCTACATTGTTCGTTGACACAAACTCAATTTCCACAGTGACCAAAAATGTCGATTGGAACGCCGGCAGTAAATGCCATGATATTGGCAGGCTTACTTCAAGACAAACTCCAAGTAACGCAGTCCGCCTCCTCTACTCGGGACGATTATCCCAGCCATACTCAAATCGAAGAGCGACTGTCTGCCGCGGAAAGCCATCCACCGCTTTCGTTCGACGATACTCTCGGGACCTTGAGAAACTTCGACCGCAATGGTCGTCGCGTCGGGACTAGATGCGGTCATGTCCTTCACCCCAACACAGACCACGACGACGAATACTGCCCAGTATGCAGAGTCGTAGCTTATCTGAATCTACTTCGGCGCATCACTAAAGATTGGGATGGTAAAGGGGGCCCTTGGAGGCCACTGACAGGTCAAAGTACTGAGAATCGAGACGCTTATTGCCATATCTGGCATAAAAGAAGACTTGAGCTTGCACAGATCGTGATGCGTTATGAGGAAGACGCAAAGAATGAAGCATGTTGGGAAGAACAGCACCCGGAAGAAGTTGAAGCGGCTCGGAAGACATGCTCAGCAGGCAATGCAGTGGCCATTGCGCGTGCTATGTCGAAGTACCCCGCCAGCGTAAGGACTGGCGACATCGCAGATCCGGACTTCCGCACCGGCACTCCAACAATGTTGCCTAGAGCATCTCCAAACTGTCACACCTCTTTATCGAAAGCAAAAGCTCCAAAGGCGAAGCGTGTCCAATTTGCGTCCGACACGAACTTCAAAATCGCTCGGCCACGTCAAACTTACTACCGTAGCGCGAAGGGATACGTACCAGGAAAACACGCAGCACCCTCGTCGAGCACCCTACTCAATACCTCGAACATGCTCGTCAAACGCTACAACGTTCGGCAGCTCAAGATCATCAGGGAGTTTGATTGCCCGTGGAACATCGAGCTCATCGACGCCATCGCTTTGTCCAACCATGAGGGTATTGCAGAACTGCATCCTCGGTGGCCCGAAATCGGGGATAAGATATCGCGTATACATGATGGAAAAGACGATGTGCCGAACGAGACGTTTATGAAAAGTCTGAGTACTGCGGATTACTTACTCGTGAAGACTGACGAGAAAGATCAGGTCACGCATGTTATCCCGTATACAACGAGAGATATTGAGAATCTTCCAGGAGATGACGCGGACGGGGATATCATGATGGAGAATAAGGGGTGGACATCGCATATAGAGATCATGTCAGATGAATGTCGTGATGAGATCTGGAATACATACGAATGCGCAGGAGGCGCGAGGAGGATGGAAAGTAATGGGCGTGAGTAGGAAGATGGCGAGGGTTTTGGGGCCTCAGACGCGAGGGCTTGAACGCCACAGTTGTATACAAGGAACACCTGGGCCCTAGGAGGTCTTGCTGAGCCAGCTGTAACGAGAGGATATGTGGACGGTCCCCATGTGACGCGCATCCATCTGAGCAACCACCGAGTGGGTATGACGTAGACGTAACGCTCTCGACTGAAGCTGGTAGATTCATCCTACAATGCATTGTTAGTGCCCTGACTCTTCTTGGATGATTCATCGCAATGACCCAAACACCCAGGACTGCGCACTGTACAAACACCCTGTTCTCAGTAGATCTTCCACTTGCCATTCGCTATTGCGCATTCACTTCCATAGCAGTCCACCGAAACAAACTCGAGAATAAGCACGGGCTTTCTGGCAATGTTTTGCGATCCTCCAATACTCACTCATTCACGCCAGCGCAACCTTCCACATCATGCCCTCTTCCATAGCCGAGTACGTCCCCGCAGCCATTCTCTTCTCGCCTGAAGATGTGCAGCACTTCACCAAGTGGCAGGAAGAGCACTGCGTGGGATCACTGCCTGGGATTGTTCGAAATGCCACAGAGTATTGCGAGTTTCTTGCACATCGGCGCACCAACGAAGAAAGCATCAAGCTCAAGCGCGGCAAGGTACGCTCGCGAAATCGAAACCCTGCAACCATGTGCGGACACGGTCTGCACCCTTCAGACATCATCACCGGCGGGTATTGCCCGGTCTGCGAAGTGGAAATGTGTCTCGAGTTCCTTGATGCGATTGCGCAGGTGTTCCAGAAATGTGGCGGCCCTTGGCAGCAAGCGCGCGTTCGCAATGAGTTCGCTTTAGTCAGACAGTGTTGGCACCTGGCGCGCTATCAGTTAGTCGAGCTTGTGGAGCTTCTGGAGTGCTCGCAAAAGTATGAAGAAGCGTGGGAGAAACAACATCCAAGCGACGTAGGGTGTATGTGGACGACCAACAGCTCTTCGAAAGCGATACGTAATGCCCAGATGCGAACGAAGTATCCAGCTGTACTGACGGACGCCATTCCCAGGCTTGCAGTGAAGCGAAAGCTTTCGTCGTTTGACGCAGCGAGAGCGAAAGTCGCTAAGGCTCGAGTGAAGAAACACGTCACTTTCACACCAGACACCATTATCTCGCCCACCCGCAGCAACGCCTGCTTTAATCGCAACCCGGCGCAGCGCCAGAGTTATCAACCTGGTAGGCATGCTGCTCCGCTTGGGTTGGAGTGGGTCGACACATCGAGAATGTCCTCTTCCATAGCAGATCTTCTGAACCTGAAAGTATACGCGACCTGTGTCCAGGCGGAATTTGACGCCTTGGTCGACGACTCGTCTCTCAGACCCCCTAGTCGCTATCAGGGTATACTAAGCCTCCACCCCGGTATTGGGGCGATCTCAGCATTCGCCAACCAGTTCTTGCAAGGGGCGGAAACGGCGCGAGAGGAGATGCTCGAGATGATCAGCGTGGCCGACGCCCTTATAGTGCTCATTGGTGAAGACGATGTGGTGTTGGACCTGCATCTTTCTGTTTCGGACGATGTGGAGGATGAGGATGGTTATGGCGACGAAGAGGTGGATCAGACAAGGTGGACCTGCTGGTCCAAGTGCGGCAATGAGGCAAAGCCTGACGTTGGTGGAGCAGCTGGTCTAGCTGCCAAATTCGCTGTTGACGACGAGAAGGCGCGGAAGATGTCAGAAGATAGATGAGTAGCATAACTGCGACGCACGTTATGTCTGGAAAATGTTAAATAGTAGCATATTGAAGTGTCTGAATCTGAAATCTTTACAGTGAGTGGGCATACCAACCGTAGCCTTCCAAGGTTCGTAGTATGAGTTCAATGCGTGCGCTTTCAACCTTGGAATTGTGGGTGAATGGCGGTTGGTTCCCGCGGTCAAGGAGAGAAGCGAGATAAGAAGATGGGCACCGGAGGATAACCGAATGCATGTCTTGGTAGTCCTTGCCGCTGGTGATGCGTAGTGGTGGGTAGAGATGAAGTTCGCGCAACGCGCCTCAAGACGCGCCAGTTTCGCGCCTGCCCGGCTGCTCCGCCCCGCCGCGTTTGCATCTTCTTTGTTCACTCTGTCTGTGGCACTGCTCAATGAAAGCTTTTAGGCTTAAATGGAACCCGCAACCCCGCGCCTGAACTGAGATGTTCAGTCAAGCCGCGAGGGCTCCAGGCAGGCGTCAGGCCCCCAGTGCAGCGATGACGGCGGGCCGGCTACGCATGCCACGGCGCCGTTGCACCACTCCCCAAAGAGCACGGCATCCCGTCGCAGCCTTGCGCTAGGCTTGTACAGCTCTAGCAATCCGCCCAGATGCTCTGCTCGTCGCGATATAAAGCATGGCATGCGACGTGTCCGTTGAGAGCCATCTCATCTCAACACCAGCATGGCTCTCATTACGCTGCCACCGGAGCTCAAGCTAAACATAGCTGACAGCTTGGACCCGGACTCGACTCTTAATTTCGCCCTTACCTGCAGAGACCATGCGACACTGCTCAAATCCTTGTTGAAACAGCATGCACGACTACTTGCGAAATGGAAGGTCATCGACACGACCGATGCTCGTACGCTCCTTTGGGAGACCTTGAGAGACGTGATAGCAAACCCTCGACTAGGGTGGTACATCAGGGAACTCAATCTTCCTGAAAGCCGGCAATACAATTGGAATGCGAACGAGAGTTTGCGCAATTCCCACCCAAAGCATGGCGTTGTGCCATCCGAAAAAGACAAGGCCTTGTTCATTGAGGCAGCAAGGGGGCTGCAAGATTTGTACCCGGGGTTTGGCGTAGATGAATCGAATCTGCTGAGACGATACTCTCATGCTTTCAACTTTTCACCTCGCCCGTACGACACGATTGGATCTATCGAAGATCGAATTCACGCAGGCTTCGAGGACGCCATTATCGCGATCCTTCTGCACCATCTACCTTATCTCACGACCATCAGACATTCAGAAGTCGGCATGGAGGACTGTCTGGAACTTGTTCTATGGCAGATCGCGTTAGGATACAAGAACCCGGTCATGGCACCAAAGCTTCCCCTACAACATCTCAAGACGGTCGCCGTGCGTTACGCTCTGGACGAAGGAAGCAGCTCTCCTGACTGGGCGTGTTTTTATCTCAGTATCCCTTCGGTAAAGACGTTTGTAGGGCAAGCAATGGGTGGTTCGCCTAGCGAGGACGTCCTACGCACTTTATTCCCCACAGGTGCTGCTCCGTGCTCTGACGTGGAAGAGCTATTCTTCAGACATTCTGTCTTCGATGTGGATGGCCTAGCAACCATACTCGCGAACATTCGGCATCTAAAGAAGCTAACGTACAACGGTGGTGATGCTCTGGTGTCCGATTCGAGCTGGTACGAACCAAAGAAAGTCATCCGAGCAGTTGCTACACACGCCGGCCGCTCGTTGGAAGAGCTCATGCTCAGCGAGGAGGACACGGATGTAAGTCACCAACCCCCGTCAATGTTCCGAACTGATATGAGTTGACAGAGTGAACCTCCTGAGGATGGCCCAGCGATTGTTTCTCTCCGAGAGTTCCAGAAGCTCCGTGTACTCCACTGTCAATGGCGCATGCTTCGCCCCGACATGGCAAAAGAGGGAGACCCTGAACATGACGAGCCGCTAGAACAAGGCTATTACCGAAAGGAGGATTACGAACAGATTGATGTCGACTTCGACGTAAGGACCCTTCTCCCAGAGTCCTTAGAAGAGTTTTATATGAACGGCGATTTCCACGACTATGATGAATGGGAGCACATGGAAAATACAGTCAAGGCCTCAAGCGCCTTCACGCCCCACCTGAGTATGGATAAGACCTGTATTAAGAAAGGAGGTTATTGGAGTGATCGAATCGGTACCGCAGAGGAACCGGATGGAGCCTGGTCTCATCCGCTCGGCCGCCTTTTCGAAGGTCATCATGGTTAAACTCGACAGACTATATGTCTCATCTCATTCTCGATTGTAACAGGGGCACCAAGTTTCGGGTCTGTGCGCGCTTGCTAGGCACACGAGAATTGCTATAGCAGTGCGCACGGCTTCTCATCGTTCATCGTAGCGGGTCCTCTTCTCCCAATGACGCACTGGAAGAATTGACCATGCGCCAAGAAACACGACGAGAACTAAGGGAGAGCTGGTGCCTAGACACCCCTTTCGCATATATATATACGCGCGCATATCCAGCAGCATTACAAAAGACCACTATACAGCACACCTCTACAGCGCGCGCTTCTCCCTATACCTCTACTGCCAATTAACGAGCGAACATTTCGCGCCAGACCCTAACATCCAATCTCCCCAAGACGATATTACGATGGGTCCTCGAACCGTCCATACAATCGGAGGCCGCTACAAAAGCATCAAAGCTGTGGAAGACGCGCCATTCGCAGAGTTCATCTCAGTGAGAGAGACCGGGCTCAAATTCAACGTCGTCCACCCAGTCCCGGTCGCGTATCTGCGTGACCTGCAGTCTCGCGAACGCGCTGCGGTCCACAAACATATTACCGCTGAGCTGTTTAGTAACAGCTACAAAGACGTCGAATTTGTTGAAGCAGTAGAAGAAACCTTGAATTTGTTGGAGATGGTCCAACAGGATATGGATCATGATCGCTCGACCACTGCGGACCTAACGGCCACGGATACGACCAGTAACCGGACTTACCACACGGCAAGAGAGCATCAGGAGTCCCGGGGCAAACATTCCTCCATGTACGTGGAGGCTGACACCAATGTCATGAGCGGCTCAAGGTCAGGCGCCCTTGGGCGTAGCCGGAATATAAATAAATGGAAGACTACCGTACCCCCTGGCTACCCTCCACCCCCCGTTAGTACGCCAAGCTCGGTATTTCAGTCTGAGAGTGGTAGTGGATCGCGATCATCTAGCTCCAGCAAGATGCGAAAGCCGAGCAGGCACACCGACTTCCTCAAGGACGCAAAGCTCGACGAGAAGACACGCGTCATAGTTGTGGAGCACAGCGCTGCGAGCCACGAGCTGGCGCTTCAAGAACAGCACCTCGCCAGTCTTGAGTCGCTGGCTTTGACCGTCACCAGCTCAGCTGCGCGGCGCGATCTCTACGGCGCCATTCGGAAAGCTCGCAGTGCAGTCGAGAAGGTGCGCGTCCTCGAACGCAAGTGCAAGGGCGCCTTGTCTGACTCCCGCGCGCTCGTAGTGGATGCTCTGAAGCTCGCTGATGATCTGTGGGAGACGTCAGATGCGGCGGCGGATGAAGCATCAACAGTTTCATCGCCGACAACGATTTCTTCGCGGACAACCGATTCTTCGCGGACAACCGGTTCTTCCCTGACACAGCGGAGCACATCTACTGCGCCATCGGAACAAGACTCTTTGGTGCCGGCTCGCTTTCCCTCTGCCTCAGAAGTAGTTTCACTAAAGCAAAAACTGCAAGAGATCGACGACAGTCTTTCCGAGTCGATGAGGACTTTGAACCAGGTCATCACTCAATCACGTTACCGAGAGGGCGTAATCGAAAGCATAGACCGCGCACGGGCATGTCTCGACAAAGTTCACATCAGAGGAGAGCGCTATTCGGGCTTGGACGACGAAAAGATACGCAAATTCGGATTTGCAACGCTTGCCATCGCTCGGACAAGGCATGAGAAAGCTATGCGCAATCTGGAGGAAGCCAAACAAGAGGAACGTCGACTAGACGGCCCTAAGCAAGCAAAAGGTAGCGGAGGAACACGAGACACCGAGCGCCAAGAGCCTTTGCGAGAGGATGAAGAGTTCGATCGGATGGTCCATCGTTTCTCGCAATTTGATTGCGGGGACTCCGAGGAGCTTCTGCGTCAGCAACAAGAGGTTCTTCAACAGGTTGCTAACTACCGTGCCGCTGAGGCGTACAACAGACGCCGTCAAATGGGTCAAAGTTTGTATGATCAATTTCTGCAGGCAGGTGCACCGGATGCTCACAGGCGGCCAAGTTCGTCATCGTCGGATTTGCCGCCATTCCCGTTCCTCGATCCGAGTCAGTTCAGGGGCGTTTGGAAATAGCAATTCTCGCTAGGGCATACACGTATGTAGCACGCACAGTAAATAGAGATAAATTATCTATCCTGTATCGGCTTTTCGCTGTATCACTCCAAAAATAGTGGGTTACTAACTTCCAAAATCTACAACAACAGTGAAGTGGCTGGTGTCGACTGGCAGATTCTGCGATCAGGTCACCGAAGGCGACAAAAAATCGGTTCTTGACAAACCTCGGGACCGATGGGTCGCGACCATGGTGAAGGTGGCTGCAACGGGTCGCTTGAGAGACTGGACAGCTCACACACGTTCGATCTTTTCACTAACCGTACTAAATTCTCTACTACTGCCTTCATCTGCAGCCACTGAGGAGAGGTGAAAGCTCTCAGTTGTGACATTACTCGATCTGCTGATGGTTATGCGACCGCGTTCGGCCATAGCTATATAAGAGCGCCTCCTCTACAGCTGTCAGCGATTTGTCTACTCCTACTTCAACCCTGGTAAAACTTACAGCTTTGAACGATATTCGCAAGCTGCCAACGGGTTACGCCGGTGTTATCAGCTCGCCATCAACCCATCCAAAACCCAACTTTCACACGAGTCCCAAGGGCAGATTCTCTTCTCAGGCTGCTTGCAGGTCTACAGGCCCAACCTCTCCGACAGCAACAAGATGGCTTCTCACAACCGCACACTTCACACCATTTACGGGCAATACCGTACTGCAGCGGCTGTCAGCAGGGCAGCTAATGCCGATTACATCCCGTTGAACGGCGATCGTAACATCAATGCCGTACACCCAATTCCGATTGACTGGCTGGACGAAGAGCTATTGCCGAGCGAGCGCGATCGAGTCCGCGAACATGTTGCGTCTCTACTGAGTAGTCAGCGTCGCCAAATTCCCAGTTTTGTCGAGGCTTTACAGGGCACCATGGAGAATCTGAACACCATCAGGAATAGGGGTACAGCCAGTCGCAGCATTCCTGTGCGTCAATCTGGAGGCGAGACTATCGATCGTCTGGCGGACGACTTCGACACTTTGACCATGGGACAAGCGCATGACATCAACTCACCGTCACGTAACGTGCGGTTTGCAGAGACGGTTCGGACAGATCGTGTTTCCCGAGACCCTACAATCCCTGGTCCCTATAGTCCACAGCCGTCCTCGCCGACTCCTCGAAGTATTATGCGCTCGCCCGGACATTCTCGTGCGAACTCAGCCGAAGCGATTTTGAGCCATGGAGCTTTGCCTCCACACGAAGCTCGAGTGCCCTCGCCCACCGACGGCTACAGTGCAGAACTTGCCGCACTGGATGTACAACTTGACGGGATCTACGCGGCTCTCAACAACCAATCTCGCACCGAAGACCATGGGTTATCGGAGCAGCGGTTCGATAGCCTTGCGCAAGCTCGCTCCATGCTTCGTCGCCTTAGAGGCCTACGTCGTCTCAATCAAATGGACGTTGACACGGCTCGCGCTGCTGTACAATCAGTAATGACAAGCACTGGACGAACCGACACGCAGCGCGCTGCTGTCACGAACGCTGATAGTAGACCGGAACGCATGGGTCGCGGGCTGCCTCATCGTAATCATGAGATGCGGAGGCCGCGTCCAGTAAGTGGGAGCTTTAGCAGCATAGGAGAGCGGCTACGCCTAGCGACGATACAGCATGATCAGCGTCTGTTCGCTCATACCAACGGCATGTTTCCAGTTTGGGGTTCACCTCCCGTTGACCCTCAATATGGGGACGGCATTCAACGGCCTGACGGTGCCATATACTGCTGGGGGCCTATGGGCGGATGGTTGATGTACCATGGCCGTGATGGGGCCTATTTTTGCGAGTAGATGTGTGATGATGCCTGGTCTTGGGGTAGGGGCTCTGTACCTGGGTAACATTCAGAGCGCAAAGGTCGGGGTAGAGAGTGCGCATCCATAGAGGGACCAAAATAGAGACCGAATCGGAACTTCAAACCATTCGAATGTACTACATCAATGTGCTTGTTGGTTATCGAGGCGCGCACATGTGGCAGGGACGAGAGCGACGGACTAATCACCTGGGCCGTGTTTAAACATTCGGTTGGCGCTAGCTGCTCCGAGTTCCCTCCGACAGCGGGCTGCACTGCGCGCTTCATCGCCACACAACATACACATTGCGCGTCATTACACTTCCCAGTCTCAATGACCAGCCCCGCCGAGGACTATCCCGCAGTTTGCGTCAAAAGCGCACTCTATTCATTCATACTTCCCTTATTACACGACATCTATTACCCCGTTCCCTTTGTCATTGCAGCTCCGCGCCTTATTCCCGTAGTTCCGCTTCAATAACACTCTCAGCAACCCCGGGGTAATTGTAGATGGCTAAGAAATTCAGACCAGCCTTTTCAACTATCGCCTTCCACTCCGCTTCTGTTCTCTCGCGCACTGAAAGATGTGCTAACATCATCATATCCATAGAGGTGGCGGCGATGGTAGGCTTCTCTTCCGAAAGCACAATCTCGTTCAGCAGCACCCGCGAGTAGCCGGGCTTCAGTGCTGGCTTCAGGCTTTCGAGAATCCTGACGCCTTCTTCGTCATTCCAGTCGTGCAGAATTGAGTGCAGTGAGTACGCCCTGGCTGACTGAATCGGCTGAGGCGTATAGAAATCATGGACCTGACTCTCAAAAGGAAGCCTTTCCTTATCCTTGATAGCCGCGATGACTGGCTCTTGATCCTGAAGAACAACCTTGCCCGGATGAGAATGGTGCTGAGTCACGAACTGCTGGACGTCGTGACCGCGACCGCCGCCGACATCGACCAGAAGGGCCTCGCTGCAGCTGGGATCAAAGCCATCAATCAATCGTTCTGCGACCGGGTAGAAGCCGGGGTCGAACCAATTCGCCTTACCCGCGCGATACACCGACATAAAGTTGTCGAACTCATCGAGATGAGGAGGCGTTGCGACCAACCATGGGAAAAAAGGCAGATTTGTTCCATGCGCATCCTGCAATGGTCCTTCTGTAGGCGACGTGGGGAGCCTGTAACCAGTCTTCTTGAAATACTCCGGGAAACCATTGAACGACGGTCGTGACACGTCGTAGCAGAAGTCAATGCTCTTCTGATAGTTGTCCGCTGCAAGTTCGTGGCTCAGACGGGTACCGAGGAATTTACCGTTCGAGAAGGAAACGACCTTCATTGCGATTAGGTGACGCATGATCCGTTGCAATAGAATGGGGTCAACGCTCGTCTTTTGAGCAAGGTCGCCCGGACTAACTCCGGCATCGCCTGCATCTCTAAGATGCTGGAAGAGTTTGACTTCAACAGCGAACTTGCAGTGCGCTGACAATGCCGGCTGTAGACTCATCAGTATGCTGGTAACAGTGCAGGTTCAGTCACGAACCTCGGCCCAAAAGCTTCTCTGCAGGAATTCACTGGGTATCTCGAGCGCCGCAACCAGGTCTCGACCAAGCTCGATGAGACTTTCTCGTGAGCCGATTTGCTCGGCTTCGTAACCTCTGCCGGCGGCCGCAACCCGCTCGAGGATATCTGGTACAGGTATTGGCATGTCTGGCGATGAGTGTTTGTTCTGCAATGATTGTCAAAGGATAAAGAAAGCAGCGCGGGGCAGCCTTCTATTGCAATCCTTCGATCCTTTCGCACGATAACCATCGTTCGGTGGGGTTCTTGCCTTCCTATTGCGCCATGCGCCGAAGTACACATGACTCGTTTTCCCACCCGACCGCTCAGCGCTTAGTCGTTTCCGCGATGTTTGGATCTTAGATCAGCTACGTTGTGATACAAAGGCCTGATATCCGCAGTCTCTTTACCGTCTTTCGCTCGTCCGACCCACTGGACCTCGGGAGTGTTCAACAACGCGAATCCCACACCCGCTGTGTTGGATCAATACGTCTGGAACATCGCCTACCAAACGCTTGTCGTCTGCGTGCTTGTTACATTTGCCGGCATGACGTTTCCGGAGACAGGCATCCGTCCGTGCCGCCCCGTCACTCGTTGGCCCACTTGGTCTGGCACTAGATCCTTCGCGCATGCATGAACAGATACTTCGAGCCGCACCTGTTGAAGCACCAAGAGCCACGTTGACTTTACTAGTCACAAGGTCTAATTAAGTTAAGTTTTAAGATACAGTGTATTTCTTCTCCAAAGAAATAAACACCCTACAAAGTTAAGCTATCTCGCTCAAGATACACAGCATGGGAGTGGAGAGACTACATTTTCTGCTTATGTTCGTCGAATATCTCCTGCAAAGGGGTTGTATTGCGGCTCTCCTTTCAAGGTATCAGCTCCAGTGTGGTCTTTCAGAAGATCCTCTTCCCCATCGTCTTCCCATAACGAGTAGTTCAATCTTCCGATGTCTGAGATCGGTGTCTGAGAGTCTGCCACTAAGCAGTACATTGACGATCGTTCCATCGTACGAAGGACCGACGTGATAATGAACACGCTTCGCAAATTTTCTTAGTTTTGCGGGCTTCCTAACACTGATCCGAAGCGATGTCCTGCCTTCCTTATCCTTCGAAGAGGAAGACTGGCCATGTTTCAATAATAGTTCCACTGTAGATATGCCGGTCTTTTCGCAAACTCTATGTAGAACACAAATCTCGGCATCGTCACCCGAGCTTTTGTTAGCGGCAAGTTGGTATCCTCTGTGAGAAGCTCCAGCATGCTGAAAAGTCGCAGACGACCACCCCAGGGAGGTTTTCAACCACTGTTCATACGCTATTGATACCTACTGCACCAAGCTTGAAGAATGCTAAACCCTTACGGATGTTACGCCAGCATACCGATGCGCAGTCGCCCTGAGTCCTGCGAACTACTTTACCTATCTCGAGCTCGAACGGAGTCTTGGGGAGAAATGGATCGCGAAGGCAAAGCGCGTAGGTCAGAATGTGTACGTAAGCTACGAAGTGGATGTAGCTGAATCAACACAGAAGGATGATGATGATGGCACTACTAATAGCGATACTGCGCTTGATCTTTCCTAGCGAACTCGTAAGCGTCGTCAGTGGCCCGCGGCTACTTCAGTGTCTACCAAATCGGGACGAATTCGCACAGGACTGGCCTCTAAGCCTGATGACTTTATGGCTAGTGCCAATCAGGCCAATCAGGATGTCGAGAATCCTCTGAAGTGTTGGATTCATCATGCATCTGACTACCCTGTGCTCTCTGAAATGGCGTTAGATTCGTTTAGTCGTCCGGCAATGAGCGCTCAATATCCGCGTGGTCTTGATTTAGCATAGTACCTGTACGTAATCTCAAGCCACATAAACCAGGTTAGCCGCAATGTGCTTGCAGCACGACTCTATGTACTTGTCTCACTTGTACGCAATCTGCACGCGATTATTTCTAATCTTGCGAGCTGACCATTTGTGGTGCACAAATTTCTTGATTGACGCAAGGCTGCTATTGAGGCTGGAAAACCTTGTCACCCAATTACTGGTTCTATGGATTGAATCATATCGGTCTTCCACGACTCATCTTTACTAGTAAGTCGCACCACGACCCGTGTAGCCATAGCCACACGGGTTGTCCCAATCATGCGCAATGCCATACCACGTGCCCCTTGTCTCCTGGCTATCCCATCCCATACCCTTGCCAAAGTTGCAGTTGTTGATGACGCGGTTGATGCTCCACTCAGCGTCCTGGCAGGGCATGTAGCCAGTGCGGCAGAAGCCATTGCAGGCGTAGGCAACAATACCGTTGTACGCGTTGCTGGAGACGCGTTTGGCGTTCCCTGGTAGGTTGCCGTTACCGCATTGACTCATGAGGTCTTTCAGTGCGGCGCGAGCGTTGTCTTGGGTACCCTGGTCGGAGGAGATGCAGTGTGTACCGGTGTTAGAGCGGGAGCAGCCTCGTGCCTTAAGGGAAAACGGAGCATGTTAGCTATTCGCTTTTGTGGGCAAGGTCGGGATTGCTCAAGCAAGCCTTACCTGAAGGTCGACCGTGGCGGCCATGATGGTGCTGCTTTGGAACAGGAGCGTTCCGGCGGTGGTAATGGCGAAGAAGCGCATGATGAGCAGGTTTTTGCTGTACAGTACGAACTTCGCTATGTAGACAAGTGTGCTAGACTGAAAGAACCGGTCGACCTGTGATGCCTCGATGCCGATGGAGAGAGTGTGTACTCACATCACAAGGAACCCGTCGTACTTATACACAATTATTCCATGTTGGCTAGATTACATGATGTTTTACTGTGCAAGTGCACTTACTCCTAAGCTGGTAGCTCCTGTACACGAACGACAC